GAGCCTAAAAGCTAGAACCTTAGAAACCTGTAACACACAATAGATCTTATTTCTGGCTACGAAAATATCAAGTCTGTAGATAGACAAGGGTGCAGTATATCCTCTGCATTATAACCTCTCTGTCCATGAGATCCTGAGATCATGCCCTCAGCTGATGTACAATTGGGTTTAATTTAATGTCCTTTCCCAACACTGCAATGCAAAAACACATGTCTGTCAGTTCACATGAAACTCTTGGTCCCTCCTACTGAACTTCTTTTTTCAACTTATGTATTTATTATGGTTTAGATGTGAGGTGTCCTCCAAAAGCTCACATGTGAGATAATTCGACTATGTTTAGAGGTGAAAGATTAGGTTATGGAAGATTTGATCTAATCAGTGGCTCAATCTACTGATATGGATTAATTGGGTGATAACTGTAAGAAGGTAGGGTAAAACTGGAGGAGTCAGGTCACTGGGCACATGTCTTTGGAGTTTATACTTCATCTCTGTGAGCAGAATGTGCCTTTCTTTGTCTTCTGATTGCTGTGTCCTGAGTTTGTTTCCTGTTCCACACCCTTCCTCTGCCATGGTGTTCTGCCTTACTTTGGGCCCATAGCTATCAATTCTGGTAACTATGAACCAAAACTCTGAAAATTTGATTCAAAATAAACATTTGCTTCCCAAATGTTTTTGTTAGGTCTTTTGGTCACAGTGACAAAACTTACCAAAATATTATCTAAAAATATAATTGATTATTAGCCTGTAGTTGGTTAGACAGTAGTACTGTGAATTTGCTAACATAAAAATAAGAACTGAAGTCAGTAGGGTAACGTTTTTACTGTGTAGGACAGTGACCAATTCACACCTGGAGTGTCAGGGTTTTTTTCTGGGTACCACACTGAATAAACTTTCACAAATGATCTATGCTCAGATGCAGTTGACAAGATACTATTTAAACTTGTGTATTGAAGAACCAGACACTGGAAAAGAAAATTAACAGAACACGAGGGCAGGATTGAGCATCATCTAAAGGTAGGACCTCTTCATTTTTCTTCAGTAATTCCAATATCAGAAAGATGCTAAAAAAAGAAAAGAGAAAAATAAGAAAGATTGTACATAGTTCTTGTCTTCAGAAGGTCCAAAGAAAACTTGGGAATTAATAGAATGGTATTCAGAAGGAGTCAGCAAACTATGGCCCCTGGGCCAAGTTCAGTTTGTAGCCCCCCAACACATCTAGCCCCGTTTCTTCATTGACATTGTGTCTATGGCTCCTTTCGCTCTACTAAGTAAAGTTGAGTAAGTGTAATAGAGACTACATGATCCAAATAATTTAAAATACTTAACATCTGGCCCTTTAAAGAAAAATGTTGCTAATCTCTTCTGTAGAAGAAACTCAGATGAGCAAAGTGAGACTTTATTTATTAATTAATTTATTTTTAATTGTTGATGGACCTTTTTATTTTATGTATTTGTATGCCATGCTGAGAATCAAACCCAGTGCCTTACACTTGATAGGCAAGAGTGCTACCACTGAGCCACAACCCCAGCCCCAAAGTGAGACTCTTAAAGGATAGATTCTCTGTCTTTGCCTTGCTGAGTTTTAAAAAAAGCCAGAAATCTCCATTTGGAAGCCACGGAGAAAGAAAATGATTTAATTTCCAAAAATATTTTGTAGAAACACACCCTTATAAATAAGTACCATAAAAGGAATTATAGCTTGATGGAGAATTTATGGATTACCTCATTAAAATAATCATGAGTGGGAGGCATTAATATTCTGAGTTTAACCGTTCATAATAGCTACTACAAAGTCGTTTTAACGATCATCAACAAAATATTGCTACCTATTTCTTTTTGAAATACATGGAAGAATTTCAGATTTCATCTCTGTAATATGTGCATACAAAGTACATTGATGGAGAAAGGAAGTCACCGAAAGAATAGAATTTTTAAGAAATAAATGATAAATCTCTATATAATAAAACATGTTCCAACTTTTATAGAACCTTATTCATAGTCTTGGAGTACATTTGAAAGGTTCAGGCTTTTTTATTTTTTCACTGTACCTGAAGTCAAGTAAGTCTTTTAATTGCAAACATTATGTTCATTTCCATATGCTCATAACTTCGAATATGGTGAATAGCAGACATTTTGCAAGATTTATTGGAGTGTTATTTCCTGTAGGCATTCATTTGGCAAGTTTTTTATGTGATGAATGCATTTCTAATTGGGATTATTTACATAGGCATCTGGGTCCTGGTTCAAGATGCAAGAGAGCGGCAAGGAAACTCAGATTTACTTGATGCTACCTTTGATTTAACATTTTCTAGAGTGGAGGAGCAAGGTTCATATTATGCCATTTCTGTGAGAGATTTGGCACAAAGTAGGGTGCTTTTATGGATCCTTCCAGCTCTTGTTATCTACGATTTCATATCCTAACACAATTTATCATTACAACCCCCTGGATATATGTTAAAGGGCAAAAAAAAGGAGATAATAAAGAGATCATGAAATACTATCTAGAATTGAAGATTAGTGGATTTTTTTTTCAGTTAGGTTAAGATGGCAGGAAAGAACAAATCTGCTCTAAAGAAATAAGGATTTTTTCTAAATGCTGGCTGTGCCCATATGCTAGTAGGACCTAGGGATAAAATGAGAATAATAAAAAAAAAGAAAAAGTGTTCATAAATAGCTTCATTTGGAAAGTATTTTTGTGCATTCATAATTTGGTCATCTCCCACCTAAGACATCCATTCAAACAAATTATTAAAAAAAAAAAAACCTGCTGTCAGGCTGGATAGCTATCTTACCTAAAATTGTTTGTCAATTCAGACTTAAATCAAAGCAAAATAAAGACAATAATAACAGCAACAGCTTTCTCTACGTCTAAGACTGCAATGGCTGGATAGTTCTCATTTTTGTGTTTTTTATTGGCCCATAGCTCACAGGGAAGTGATATAAATGTCTGATGCGAGGAACAGGGGATAGTCTGAGAAGAGATGAGTTAAAAAGAGAATACGACCAGAGCCTGTGGAAGTCGGCACCATCATTACTGTTCCTGTGCGTTTAGGGGGAGTTATGATTAAGGCAAGAAGTTACTTAACCTTGGCGGAAAGGTAAGCATATTCCAAATGTGTATGTCATCCTAGGAAGAGCAGGATCTCCTCTCACGAAAATGCAATTTCTAACCCAGAGGGCATCTAGGTTTTCAACATCCAGTGTATTCTAAATGAAAAGGCAGTAGAAACTTACAAAAGTTGGGCTGGTCCTGGATTCTCTCTAGTACTGTGGGACAGGTGTTTTGTTTATCTATTGCAACACAACAATCCACCCTAACTTAAGTGGCTTAAAACAACAGTGGTTCATTATTGCTCGGGATGTGATGATGAGCTGGGTGTTCCTTCTGCATGTGGTGTAGGCCAAGGTTGCTTATGTGGTTCACTTGGCTGAAAAGGTATAGGCCTGGAATATTTGATATGGCGTTACTGTGGCCCTGGGTCCTTGGTTCTGACTGTTGTGGTGAGACCCTGTTATTCTCCATGAGGCCTCTCATTGTCTGTATGGTGTCTCTCTCTCCCCTGGAGGAGCTCTATTCCTCCTTTCTTGTCTTCTCAAAAGATTCCAGTTAAGAGACATAGAAAGCATAGAGGATTTAGTTAGTGAAATGAAAGTAGCTCTAGGGAGTACCTGAAACAGATTGCCCCAAGAGAAAAGGTAGCCTTGTTTCTCTGTGTTGTGGGTTTTATGGCCTGCCTGCTTGGGATCCTCCCATTTCATGAATTATTCATTTTCTGCAGTTAATATGGTTTCCTTTCATGGTTTAGTACCTTAGTGTTATGAGCATGCTCCAACATTGGAAAGTCCTTAAGGTTGCTTATACACCTCTTCCCACCCCCCCTTTAGTTTTAAGAAAGAGTCATCTGGTCTGAAGGGGTGGTTGAGGGCAAGATTATTTTGTCCTCCTAGGTGGAATGATCTTTGGTCACTCAAGACAGAGTGAGCCTCCTTCTCCCTCCCCCCATCATCTTGGTCACGTCAATCTACCCACTCTAACACTGCCTTATTAAACAGCCTTGGTCCTAATTGTTTATAAGTGAGAGCAAAGTCAGTGCCAATCAGATCTCTTAAGAGTGAGTTCCAGATCAGGAATAGGAATAGTGTCATTTCTACCACATATTCTTACTTACATAAGGGTAAAATAAAGACACTGAGTCATTTTATAGGAGAGACTACAAGTACCTACAGCCTTGTCATCCACAACCGTCTATGGAGATAATATACTATACCTTGATTAGTGGAATTGTTCTGGAAATGCCAAGTTAAGATCTTGGAGAAGGTCAGAATATAAAAGTAGGATACTTGGTTCTGTGGGGTAGGGGTGATGGTCTTAAGGAGAAATATGAAAATTTGTAGCCTTGTAAGGTTGGAAAAATGCAAGTATGATCTATGCAAACATCTTTCCTATCTGCAGAATGTCTCAGAAATTTTGCTAGGCTAATTTGCATTTTTAGGATCACAATGATAAATATGCCGCATTATCAGTGGATTTCATCTTGGCTCTCCTTTCCATGGAACAGTAAAGGAGTAAAACATTATGGAAGACATTTGGGAAACTATGAATGCAACATAATATATAGCTAGATAAATGGTGCATATAACATGTCCTTGGAGATCTTAGAGAAATAAGGGAAACCAAGGGAAAGCTGGCAAAGCATAATGGGTTTTGCATGGAAATGCTCAGTATTTGGAGGTGGGACACACAATTACTATACCTGGCTCTGTTGGTGCAAGTGTTCTCTTCTCTCTGAGCCTTAGATGGCAAATAATAATGCAATATTGTTACACAGAATGATTTAAGAATTCAATTATAATTTCCAAATTTTTCAGGACCAAAATACTTTTTATTATTTTCCTGTCTTACCCCATGATCTGCATTTGCCTACCCATCCAGGGTCAAGGAAAGATATAAGGGTAAACTTGATGAAATGTAAATATTTATGCACAAAGTACTTCATTTGTTTTTTGTTAATAACTTGTTCAAGCAGATTACATCTTTGGTCCCTTGGGTGCTAGCATTAGCAGAGGATTTTACAATATGGATTAGGAGCAGAATAATTAGATCTCCTGCTGGTTGTTTCTTTTATCTCTTAGTTTTGAAATCTGCAGTTCTCTTCATCTTCATTCTTGACACAACTTTCTACAAAAGAGCACAAGAGTAAGAAGAGATAATTTTTTTTTTTTGCCTCAGACTACAATGATCATGAGACAATCTCTAAAAGAAACAACTTTTAAGAACTATGAATTAAGAACATGACATTTGTACCATGCCACAGTGATTCCTGCCTTCCGTGTCCCCTCTGGGAGATATGGACATTCTCTCTTTTTCCTCTCTTTCTCTTAGATCTCTATTAATCCTGAAGGATGTTTTCATCCTTCTCTTTAAGATTGAATTGCTTTAATATGCTGAATCTTTCAAGACTTTCAATAGTTCCATTATCACCTACCACACTAGAACCTATCAATTTGCAATTATTGAACAGTCAAACTTATTGTTGTGAAATGTGAAATTTAACATGTGTTAAAACTGGATTCAAATCATGAGATACATCAGATCCAGGCTTGGCTCATTACAGGGGTTTATTATATTTTGAATGTTTTTGTTTTTGTTTTTTTGATATGACTTTTGATTTACATGGGCTCTTTAATGTGGTAGGAAAAATATCCACAAGGTAATATATTTGAGAAAACTTACTCTCTACTTAAAGAATCATAACATATTTTATTATCTGACAAGTATTAGAGCAAGAAACTACCTTTTCTTTAACTCACAGTTCTCATGCTTATTTGGAGGTAGATTTTTTAAAAATTAATGTATACTAATACTCAGGAGTGGAAAGAAAGGGTAATGCAGAGGGGCATTGGAAAACCTGATTTTAAATGTCTTCAAATTCTTCAGTTAATAAACTCTATAATTAAAAATTGTCAGAATCTCTTCATGAATTTTGTTTTGCTTATATTTAATATATTCTGCAAATTTCATAATCAAGAAGAATCCATGGCCTACTTGAATCTAGTAATTGGAATATACATTATAATTCTGTATGATGTGGTTTTGAAGTTTTTCCTGATCAAAGTACTGTCTTTATTATTTTCTATTAACCCCATATCAGTGATTGCTTACCACACTGTATTCATTAATAGCTCATTTATCTTCCTAAGATTTTTATTCTGAGACATACTTTTCACAGGAATACCTTAGTAGCATGAGCCTATCATGCTGACTTTATAGCCCCCTCAAATGGATAGGTATTTGTTATTTTATTTAAACCGTGTAGTTTAAATTAGGAGTAGAATTTTTAATTCAGAAAATATCTCAGAAACCTCAATTTCTGCTGTTGAAATATGCAAGCATCTACAGTGTACATCTCAGTATTGGATATTAGGATCACTTGGAGATCTTTGACAAGAAAATATCAATGCCTAAACCCCACTACAAAGCATGAAATTCCGAGTCTCTGAGACAAGTCTGGACTCTAGTATTTTTAAAAGCCTTTTAGATTATTCTCAGTTGCAAACAAACATTGAGACTTTCAACCATTGGTATCACTAATTTGATTATGTCAAATGAATGCATTGACAGCATTCATCTGAAAAAACTAACATTCACTCCAGTGTACCCCAGTATTCTTGGATAAGTTGGATGACATTAATGATTTTCCTATTCATATTTAGTACATGTTTGAAGGACATAAACTTGGCTAAACATGTATAAAATGCAGGAAAGCCATTACTACATATAGATTGATAATTTCTCCTTTCCATTTGTCTTCAAGTTAATTTTTTATTTTTCAATTTATAAAAAAAATTAATTTCCTGGATTTTGATCTCTCAATACTTTTCTATGGCATTTGTCTTTTAAAGTGTATAAAAATCTCACCTTTTATAATTTTTTAAAATATGTTTGCCTCTTCATTTTATAATATCTTTATAAATTGCATATCTAGTAATTTAATGTAGTTAGAGTAGACTTTGAAATACATTCTGGTTTGAGGAGCCACAGTGAAGAGCTCACTTCTATATATTTAATACAATTTTATTTCTCATTGCAGCAGCTTTAAAGCTGTCTTCTTGCCAGCTTTGACTTCTCATCAGCTGCATTTCAACATGTACCTACGTTTATTTCTATGCATCAATTATTTATCATGTTTTATACCATGAGTGTTAATATTTGTGTCCAAATTCTTATGATCTATGAGCTCTTTGAAGAATCACACAGTATTCATGTTTGTTTCTACAGTAGTCAGCACAGGACCAGGCAGAACAGACGTGCAAACACTGTATGTTTGCATTGATGGATGGGATGAATGCAACTCGATCAGATGGTAGTGCCTGTTGTCTTCTTTTGCTTTCTATTTTAGCTATATTGTAACTTTCAAAATAAAATGTCATTATAATATATGTAGCACCCAAAATGGTTTGGAAGAGTCTATTTTAATTGAAGATATAGGATTATGGTTGCATGAATGATGTCACACCTCTGTAAAGACAAATTCTGCTCTTTTAAAATATATACTGTAGAGTTTGCATAGGAATTGTTTCTAAGGCATAAAATTATTTACTGCTGCAGTGAAGAGAAAACAAAATCAATTTCTCTCCAAAAATTTATGAGTGATCGAGATAGAGCTTTAGCTAATACATCTCAAGGAGATCTTTCAATAGACCCGTTGCTGCTGCTATATTTCTTTTGAACTACATTCCGCATTTCCTAATCAGCTATATCCAGATATTAAAGTAAAATTTATGATTAAAATAGAAAAGTCTGAAGTCCTTGCATTCCATCCATTTGAATAAAATGACACAATTGTTCAGTAGTTGATTTTCCCCATTAATCGTCTTATTTCAATTTTTTTTTGTGAGCCAAAATAATAGTTTTTCTGTATTTTATACTGTCAAGTCTAAGACGAGGAAAGTTTCCTGCATAAATAACATCAGAAACAAATATTTAAAAATATTTAAAAATCTTGTTGTCAGCAAACTGAATATTTAAACTTTTAGAATTAGAAAAATGAAACAAAAATTATTTTTATCTACACCAAGGTTCTAATATCAGGGAAATCATCTGACTTATATTGTTGATACTGCTGGTTGGGACATGTTAGAGTGAACTATTTCTATTTTTTATTGTAAATAAAGAACATACTCTGAAAGGAAAAACATGGTAACTTGACTTATTATCAATACATGTAGAATTGAAAATATTTGATGGCATGGTCATTTGGTCCAGTAATTTTCTTTTTGGTAAGTAAAGAAAAGGAAATGCAGGGCTTATTGTTATGGAAAAGAGGAGTAAGAAGAACAAGAATGCTGAACTTCCCCCTTGAAGCAAGGATGTTGAAGACCTGCCTCTTCATCTGTCTCTCCAATTTTATCCTAAAGCCCCTTGTATGGACTCAACTTGAAATGACTGAAGCTGTCTTGCTTCACAGCCACCATGTTTTTCTCTGATTAACCTCCTGGATTTTCCCTGCATAATTTCCTAGTACACTTTAAGTAAACAAAACCATCAGAGCAGTATGTGAAACTGTACAATCTAACCTCAGTACCAGGAAAGTTAATGAATCTTTGTTATTAGTTTGAGACAAACCAGGTGCATCCTGATTTGGGTGAAATAATTTTTGTCCTGATCAATATATATGCCTCTCTTTCTGAATTAAATTATGAGGATCCTCTTGGTCTTTCTGCTATCCAGGACCATGCTTCAACCAGTAAGTTCCTCAATAAATTGCATTCTGTGCAATCTGGGATCTCTCTGCCTCTTTTTTTTTTTTTTTTTTTTTAATGGTGCCTTAAGGCTGGATCTCAAACATTGGGACCAGGGTATTCTGGAACACCTCTTAACTCCACACACCATGGTATACAATTCCAAGTCCATCACTGTCTTCTGAAGTTACAGAAATGGAGATATAGAGAAGTTAAAGGTCCAGCACCAAATCAGAGTAGTATTTATTTAACAGCCAAGTCAAATCTGTTTAGTTTTCAATTTAAGACCTTTGAAAATGAAAGCTGAAGTACCCATTTTCAGTGGAAAGAAAATAAAAGCATGGACATTATACAACTATATAGTAACTAAAGAATTTTAGTAAGGGAAGAGAGGTCACACGTGTTTTCACCTTCTAATTCTCAGTACAGAAAACTTCCTTTAATATTAAGACTTCAGATAACTTCTTTTCCCATTCCTTAACACAAAACACAGAATAATTTAATATATAGAGAGTCAGTTGTAACAACAACAACTATAAAAAAAAAAAAAACAAGGGTCAAAGGAGATGAGAAGTATCCTATTTTAAAACTACCTGAGTCAGGTAAAGTCTATTACTGTCCATAAAGGCATCGCTGGTCTGAATCTAAATTATACATGTGATTGATATATATATATATATATATATATATA